TATATATATGAATAAAAAAAGTATGATATCAAGTGAATGAAGCCTGGAGTGTCTTGGACTCTTGGAATGCCCAAGGTATGTACTTACGTGTTCATTTGTGGCAGTACTGGTGGATTGTTCATATAGTATGAGTGAAATATATATAGTATTCCATAGTAGATAGAACCAATCTTTAGTATTTAGAATAAACTATAGTACTAATATTGGATTGTTCATATAGTATTATGAGTGAAACATTGGTAGTAGTAGTGAGTTACATTTAGCCTGATAGTGAATGCGCATACTTTTCCCACTTTAGGTTGATATGTATTTTTGAAGCCTACGGTCCTATAATTTATCATTTCTATATAGTACGTGTAAAAGTCTCACATAGCATTACACAACCAAGCGTACACTATGGACGGATCTGCATCCGATGTGGACGAAAGCGGTATCGCTTCCTCGCCTATAGCCAACTTTGAACCGTCTACTCAGCGTAAAGCACTCCATACGGAGGATATGAGTATGAAACATGATTCCACCGGAAGTATAGAGCCTAAATCGCTGCTCACCAGTGATTCTTTGGATCGGTCCAAGCTTCAATCTGCTGCGCATGTTGGTGTATCTGGTATCGCTCTACGGAACCGGATGGAAAACAGTGGCCATGTTAACGGATTAGAAGGGCTTGGCGTTGACGTGTATGACCATGAAGCAATGGAGAAGAATATTATGAATCAAATGGATACAGCTATACAGAAGGAGGATATGAAACTCCACATGGCGAATATGGACGAGGTATGTTGCTGTCAGAGGTCAATATTCATACGTAGTCATTTTTTTTAACAAATAATATAAGCAATTGCTTATTTGAAATGCACATTGCAAGTGCAAACGATGTATGATTCAATTGTGTCCTCTACTATTGTGTCTACTACGAGTCGCGAATTTTGAAAGTAGCTTTAAATCGATACCAATACATATATATATATATGTGTGTGTGTGTGTGTGTGTGTGTGTGTGT